TTATTCCTGATATATTCAAGTATCTAAATAAATAATAATAATAATAATAATAATAATAATATAAAAAAGAAAACAAAATTTTAAAGGATAAAAAAAGAAAAAAGCCTACAGAAGAAAAATAGATATTGTAAACAGAAAAAATTGTGAAAAGAAAAGAATGAATAAGAATACCTAATCTCAGTAGAAAGGGAAACATAGGAACGAAGGAGAATAAACATTAAAGAAAATTCAAAGATGGACATAAAATTTAAATCACAAATAAGTGAAACTCAGGTAACATTTTTAAGGTAAAAAAGTTGACTGGAAACTTATGCAGCAAAAAAAAAAAAGAAGAATCAGTCAAGGAGATAATAAACATTAAGAATGCCACAAAGCCAAAAGATAAATGAAGCAATGGTTTTGAGTGAAAGAAATAAAAGCTTATGTTAGTGAAAAAAATCTATTCAAATGAGGCAGCTATGCTTGATTGGTCAGTTTGGGCTCAATTCCCACACATCACTGAACAGATTCAATTCATTGTTTGTTTAAAGTGATTGAAAAGTGTAAAGCAGACTATTATGCCGTTTGATTTGCACTCTGTTTTGACTTCCGATCAGACAAGAAATATTTTCTTTTGAACTGGCTTTTCTTTATTCCTTACTTTTTTTCCCTTTTACTTCATTAAAAAAGGTTTCATATGAGGTCATAGTAAATTTGGGCAGTTGGAAGAAAGTTTCATTTGATGTCTTGTTTGATTTTTCAGGTTTTATTTCATATTTTGATTCATTAATTAAAACATGAGTTTAAATTCTGACAAAGACTTTGTTGTAGAAAAACACCATAATGAAAGTTTGAGAAGAAAAGAAGTGCAATTTCAACTGAAGTAATAATATATATATATATAACATATATATATATATATATATATATATATATATATATATATATATATATATATATATATATATATATATATATATATATATATATATATATCAGTCATGGGCAAACTGGTTCACAGGCAATATGCAGCCTATTTAGCATTCTGAATGGCACACCTAATTAGATGCTTTCAAATACAATGATGTAGACAAAGGAAAATCTAAAAGTCCCTGGTTCAATCCTGGGTTTCTGCATCTGGTGGCTGACACCGTTTACATTTTCCTAGCTATGTGTAAATAGGAGTTCAGACTGGTTTTTATAGGTTTGAATGGCAACTGCTCTACTGCAGAAAGAAAGGGCACCCTAATGTGGGAATAAATCTGCCTAGTCAGTCATGTATTAAAAGATACCTGATTGCCTAAGCATGCATCATTCATGGCAGATAACTGACTGACTTGAACAAAATGATAACTCAGTATGAACTTCAGGACAGTTTATTCACAATTTCAAGCACAATAATTAACACCTTATTCAAAAATTGTAAAAATACTTGTCAGTTCTTTTAATTAAACTTGTTTAGATAAATACTTGCTGCCTAAATTTAACTTTTTTATATATATATGTTTGTTCCAATCATTGTTGGAATGACTGCAAAAACATCCTCTTCCCTAAATTTATAAACAAAGCATACAGATGCATGCTGGTAATGCTTTCAAGCCATTAAAATACTCCACTTCTTAGTCTCATGCAATATATTTATGTTGAAGTCAAAATGCTGAAATCATTTTTCTATATCAACTTGTGTGAGTTAACACTACTCTTAGTTTGTGAGATTTTTGCCTACATTTGCCTTGCATATATTTTGATTGCTTAATATTATTTTTGCCCTGTTCTTTTCTTTCTCTTGTTATTGTTTATTGCAAATGTTGTCAATTTTGTTTGTTCGGCATTTCTTCCAATTACATTTAACGATGGCCAATTACTTTATATGTCATGGGCCCAAAAATAGACTCAGTTTCAATGGAGACAAATCCAAATATGAACTATGGAAAGTAAAAAAATTAGGATACATGAAAATCTAAAAATTACATGCAATGATCTTGGCACCATACGATTGCCCCAATGACAAAGAGTACTGTGAAAAAAATGCAAATGCATTTGTCAAATTAATTCAATTTCTTGATGACTGAAATCTGTCCCTAATTATGAGAGAACCTCTTGACAATGTCAGAAAAGCACTGCAAATGTTGAGAGAACACTACTTATGAAAAGGAACTTTATTAAAAACCTTAGAAGTTATAAGCAACAGCTTGCTAGTAGCCATGGGCCTAAAATGCCTTCCATCTGAATTTAAACTGTTCACAACTGTTATTGTTAATTTTTGCCAATTTTCACCCAGTAGAAGGCCCAAAAGTCACTCAAGGTAGAGAGTTACTGTGTTGACTTATATTAGAATATAAAAGAACAAGCATTAGGTGTATAGAGCTGAATTAGATTTTTAGAAAGAACCGGAAACCTAATCCTAAACAGGAACAAGGGTAAACCTCTACTCCTGTTCAACCACTTTTAGTGAATTTAAAGTTAAATTTAAAGCATCAAAGAAATTCAGAAGATGATTGAAGAGGATAACATTGAAAATATCATAATGGTTGTCAGAATGCAAAGGCCAAGTCTGAAGCCACAGACTAAGAACGTCGTTACCTGCTTTATGTTTGGTAAGCCAGACCATAAAAGATTCGGAATTGAATGATTCCCGATCAAAAATATTTTTAGACAGTAAGAATTTTGGGAGATAATAATGATTTGCCAATAGAAGTTCTACTAATTAACCCATAGTTGGGGGGATTCATAACTTAATGGATTTATTAGTAGGTCTACCCTCCATAGTTCATAGCCTTTTGACAAACTTAATCTTGCTTTCAAATACTTTGTGTTGAATGATTGTTTCTTAGATTGAATACACTTTATCAATTCTTCTTGAAGGATGAATTTAGTAGTCACACTAATCCATCGATGGTCTGTCTTGACTGAGCTTTTGTTTTTCTAGTCTGTTTCCATACTATTGCAGCATTTCAGGTCAACTACATTTTGGTGGAACCATATTGTGAACTATCGAGAAGATTTCTGAAATGCCACTTCTTGAAATTCTGTTCTATTTAGCTGTTACCGGCTGGCTCGTATTCTTTGTCGTCTGCACGATCCTCATTTTTTTTATCGACTTACCCGTGCAAGGCAGTAAAGCCACTGAGAAACAAGGGGTGGAAGAATTAGAAGCAGAAACCTTACTAAGGAGCGAAAATAAAAGAAGAGTAATCAGGGCAGTAGATAACGATTGAAATTGCATTTACATTTTTGCAGATTAAAGTCGGATGGAAAGCAAGCAGCTGGAAGGGGTTCCACGAGCAAAAATTGCATCTAACCAACTCAACTGTAAATTGATGAGACCTCGACCCCAGTGCAGTACTGTGCTTAAATTCAAAGAGTCTAGGCATCATAGCGAAGAGCTCATCTGAACAATTACCATAAAAGCATTTATAGAAAAGGCACATGGTGGCAATCTTATGGCAGTGGGAGAAGTGACTGAAGCCGAGACGTCAGATCAGGACCAATAATATTGCTGATTCTTCTTTGAATTCTGTCAAGAATCTCTAGATTCTCGGTGCACCGTATGGCAGCGATAATCTAAGCATGAGCAAATGGTAGACTTATAGATATGTAAGATAGATTTTGGACCCAGTGATAATTTCTTTGAAAATTTTCACCGTGATTTCATGAATTCGATAGAATTTTCATTGCATGTAGGAATAAAATTGGTGCTGCCGTGAAAAACAATGTTTTTTTAACAACTGCTTCGAAAAGTGAAAATCGAAAAGGTCAGGTAACCGAAATCTTTTACATCGCCATTTTGAGGGCCATCTCGCATCTTTCTCGTTTATATTTTCTACCGAATTAAGTATGGAAATGATCTCATGGGGGCCAATGTTGCGTTTGTAGAAAATGCAAATGTTCACTTATAAACAATTTTTAAATTATTTGGTACATAGATAAATAGAAAGGCCGCAAGATATACTCGAGATGTTTTACATAAAAGATAAATAGAAATTATTAGAACTTAAAATTTGAAAAATACATCTGCATTATTTAATTTCCCTCCAAAATCTGATTAAGCTAAATAAATAGCGAAAAACGTTAAATTTGCTATGATTTTCCTCTTGATTTAATCATTATGTCGGATTTAATCTATATTTTCAAGGCGTGATCGCGCACACATCCATACGCGGAAGAGAGAGAGAGAGAGAGAGAGAGAGAGAGAGAGAGAGAGAGAGAGAGAATGACACACACACACACACACACACACACACACACACAGAGGTACCGACCAGGTACCATATTTTTATGCCTATGTATGATTAAATATGTATGAATGGATATAAATGTCTCGAAGTTTTTTTTTTCCTACCTGCCTTGAAAATTGAATTCGAAATTCCTTTTACTGAAGCTCGATCCTACCGACGTCAGTGGTTGGTGAGAAAGAAGCAACTCTCTTATTCACAGGGGGATCAGGGCGTTTCTCTGGGCTCCTGTGTACATGTCTGCTGTGTTATTGATTATATTTTTGTTGATATATGTGTTCTTTTGCTTGATAATTATAAGTATATCTGTATTAGTGTGTGTGGCTTATATATATATATATATATATATATATATATATGTAATGGGGGGTGTATTATTTTCGTCTTTTTCACTCTGTGTATGCGTATCAGCAGATGCAAATATTTAACTCTAAAAGTATATTTCTATCTTTGAGCGTGTTTTAGGATATTGTATCTAGATATGGACACGCTGTATATCTCTGTGTTGAGGGTGTTTCTAAAGTTGGGTGTGAGAATAAAAACTCTAGTTAATCATCTGAAGATCAATCCCGGAGATAAAATAAAATCGCTTGCTTTTGTAGCATGCAAGAAGGCAGGGAGACAATGTAAAGTGGCAAAAAAAGAAAAAGAAAGGAGAATGTCGGAATTTTATGGGTGTGTGACGATGGGTTAGAAATGATAGGGGCAGTTTTGGTTACAAGGGAGTTGGTGGGGGCCTAAAAAGAAAGTGTAGGGGATGATGGTGGTTTATCTTCTGCCTGATCATCAGACGGTGATAAAAACCAAAAACAAACACAAAAAAATGATGAAATATGAAGAACAGCTAAGAAACAGAGGGAGCGGGGTAAGAGTGACAAAAACGGATATGAGGAAAAGAAAAAAGATGAAGAAAAGAAACAGAAAGAAAGAAGACAAAAAGAGGAGGAAAAAGAAAAAGATGAGAATTTTGATAATTTTGAAGATGAAGAAAAACAGATAATGAAAATAAGTATAGACACAAAAAAATAAGTGTGCTACTGAAAAAGAACCGAATGATGAAGAAAAATTAATATAAAAGAAGCAAAAAGTGAAGGTGGTCGTAAGAAAGAGAAGAAAAGAGAAAAATATAGTGAATAAGCAAGATGTATTAAGATTAAAGAAAAAGGGAAGGCAAACGTAAAAAAGAATGAAGATAAATGAGAATTGAAGGAAGAATAAAGAATACATTTTAGAAAAGCGGTAAAGAGGAAGCGAGAAGAAAGAAAAAGGAAAGAAGAAAAAGGAAGAAAAAGGAAACAAGAGAAAATGAATAATAATAATAATAATAATAATAATATAAGCCACTGATAAATATAGAAAAGATTTGGCCATTTAAAACAATCGTTGATACAAAAGCCAGAAGCTGGCCTTCTTCTATGTGCCATATCCCTTCAGAACGTGGACGACCATGGCTCTCCACAATTTCCTCTCCTTTGTATATCTTGGCAATTTTCCTTCTGTTGTAACCTAGAAAGGGTTACTGAATGAGGAATAACCAAAATGGAGATTGGAAATGAAATGGTAATCTTTATAACATCAACAAAATACAATACTCGCCAGCGGCGTGAAGTAGTTAAACCACTGCTAGTGGTGGACTATTTAGATAGTATATTACCCTCACTTACAATAGTGTCCAACATATTTATGGGGATTGGGGCATACTTATTAATGTTCATAAGTACGGTATATAACATCTCCCAAACCCTGCTCCGCCATCCATTTACTCAAGCTCATTAGGTAGATTATGTCTTGTTTTCCTTTGTCTCTCTTGTCTTCAATCTGTTCTGTGAGTATCAAATTTTCCAAGCCTTCTTTCATCATTATATGACCGAGAAATTTCAACTGTCTCTTTCTGATGTTAAGTATATGTGTCCTTTTGGATTCCATTTTCTCACATGTTCAGTCCATGGTATTCTCAGCACCCTTCTGTAGAACCATATTTCGGTTGCTTGAAGTCTCTTCTTAATCTGTGAGGAAATTGTCCAGCATTCACTGGAAGACTGATATTACATTAATATTATATATTATATTTCAGTACTCTTTTCTACTGTCTAACACTAAGAATAAAATGGTCAGAATATGGGAGTAACAACAAAGTCTTAAGAAAAAAGATAAACAACAAAAAAACTTATAGACAGTTAGAATTTCTGGGACACATAATGAGGAAAGAAGGCCTAGAGAATTTAACACTCACAGGACACACTGAAAGCAAAAGAAGCAAATGGTAACAGTGTGTAACCTACTCAATGAGCTTGTATGAATAAATAGAAGACAAAGGACAAGGAAGGATGGTAAAGAGTCAAAAATGACTTATAGCAATGAAAAAAGAAATTGTGGAGAGCCATGATGTCCTGAAAATTATGGCACATAAAATAAGAAATTTTTATGTAGAATTATAACAATAATTGTTGAATCAAATGAGCCAATTTATGATCTTTTTATAGATACAAGATTTCGTCTCAAGTAAATATAACAAGAGTACAGATTAAAATCTTTTGTGTGCTGTGTTCCTTCAGTATGTTGACCATCATGGCTTTCCACAATTTCCTCTCCCGTGTAGCTGTTAATAAATGTTGTCTTTTTGTTATCTCTCTTAAACCTTGCTCTGCCATCCATTTACTCATGTTCACTAAGTATGTTATGCATTGTTTTATGAGGATTAGGACATACCCATTAGTGTTCATAAGTACGGTATATAACATTTCCCAAACCCTATTCCTCAAGCTAGCTAGCTAGATTATGCCTTGTTTTCCTTTGTCCCTCTTGTCTTCAACCTGTCCTTTGAGTATCAAATTTTCCAAGCCCTCTTTCATTATTATATGAGCGAGAAATTTTAACTAACTCTTCCTAATGTTAAGTATAAATTTCCTTTTTCTTTTCATTTTCTCTAAAACTTTGTCATTGCTCACATGTTCAGTCCATGATATTCTCAGCATTATTGTGTAGAATCACATTTCTGTTGCTTCAAGTTTCTTCTTAATCTGTCAGGAAATTGTCCAGCATTCACTGGAAAACTGATATTACATTAATATTATATATTATAGTTCAGTAGTTTTTTCTTTGTTTCTTATGAAATCTTTCTGTTTATAGAGATGGTACTGTGAATGGTCAAACATGTCAAAAGTGGCTTGCAAGTTTTAGTGCAAGAGTTTTCTTGGCAAATGTTCATCTATTTTGTAACAGGCTCAACAACTATCATTCAATGAATTTGAATGTACCTTGTCATCATATCTTAAATGACTCAAACCAACACACAAATATCTTCTTCTTCTTCTTCTTCTTCTTCTTCTTCTTCGTACCATGTCCCTTCAGGACGTTGGTGATCATAGTTTTTTAAAATTCCCTGTCCTTTGTAGCTCTTAATAAATTTTGTCTTTTTCTTATCCCTCCTATTGGGACTTAAGCTCTCTCCAGACCTCAAATGGAACTCATATATCAGATCTATTGCTAAAGATGTTGGATAAAAACGTCGGTCTTTGTACCGTTCCAGTAAGTATCTGACACCCAAACCGTTATACTCTATCTTCACAAGTGTCAGATCAGATCAAAAAGAAGAACAGGAGAAGGTGGTGGGCATAATGGCAAGAACTAGAAGGCTGCGGCGGATGGAATGTAGCAAAGTTAGATTCAGAATTAATATGATAAATAATATTATTATAACTGTTGTAGCATACCTTCAGACGATAATGGGTATGTCCCCATTCACATAAATACAGTAGTAAATACTGTATGTTGGTCAGCAGTTGGAGATTCATTGTGGAATTCAGTTGACTCACTCCTAACAGTTGACTACTTCTACGCGCCACTGGCGAATCTTATATGTGTTGTTCGTGTCCTAAATATTATCGTTCATTTCCAACCTTTGTTTGATTATTCAGTAACCTTCCCTATGTTACGACAATTACTAATGCTAATAATAATCATTTTTTATTATAAATTATTATTATTATTTTAGGACGAAACAAAAAAGGAACCCAAAACGCTAAATTAATTAAAAAAGAGAAAAAAGAGGATTATTATTATTATTATTATCATTATTATTATTAATAACAATAATAATAATAATGATGATGACAGCGAAAAAGACATGGAATTGACAAAAGTTACATATCAAGCAAGTGTGAAGAAATAAAGATTAAGAAAGTAGATTAAAAACACAAATATATGAAACACAAATATAATATCTGGAGGTCCGTCTTTATTCTACACAACTCCAAGCAACCCTGCCCCCCTCCAACCAGTATGTATTACTCCAATTCATTATCACATGTGTCATACCATCAACGCGATGTTTTTACAAGACTCGAATAAGTTCTCTAAAAGACGTTAAATGACACAACTACTGGCTTTAAAAAAGATGTAAGCAATGTAAAAAGTCAAAAAGAAAAAGAATACGCCACAAAAATAAAAGAATAAGAACAGTAACAAAAAGTACGCCATGGAATTAAGTGAAACAAAGAAAATTTGAACAAAAGGAAACAAGGGAAGAACGTGTAGCAAAAAAAAAAAAGGCGAATAACAACAAGAAATTAAAACAGAGAACAAGCATGACAAGAAACTGAAGAATAAATTAAAATAAATTGAAGAAGAGTATATTTTTATCAAGCTTTGTACTGCCTGCCACAAGATCACAACACTGCACCAAACAGTTCAAAACATATTTACTAACAACAGACCTACATTTTTGGGGCCATTAAGTTTGACCAGATATGGGGGACCCCTTCGCAACCAGCAACAATATATCCGATGATCTGTAGGGATATTATTGTTACAAATAAATAAAATAATAATAATGAAAATTATAAATAAAATAAAATAAAACAAATAATATAATAATAAAACAATAATATTTAAACCTTGTTTAAAATAAATTAAATAAAAAAAATAATGAAATTACTCCCAGCATGCAACAAAACTCTTCGTGTCGGAAATACGGATATCCCGCCAAAATACATGCGATTCAATCTCTTCGCCCAAGACGTGTCGGGATGACAACACGTGTGTAACTTCCCTCCGTGATATGACTTGTAATGTTAAAAAATAAATGGCTCCCTTTTATAACACGAACATTAACACAAATCTTAAAATAAACACAATACATAAATAAAATTGTATGACATTAGCATACAATTTGTAATACCTTCTCTGTATTGTGTACATTTATTCTTCCTGTTTTTATCTCCGTGAAAACAAGCCTAAAATTCTACTACCACTACTCCTATGATGTGAGTGAATACACCACAAAATTAATGGTGACCACCGACCTGAACAAGAAAAACAGATTCAAATGACAAAATGTAGGCTATAAATAAAATCTAGCGAGCACAACAAGTCCATACAGCTGCAAGCTCACAAGAATCTTTTTAAAAATTTGACCAATTACAGGGAAATTTTAAGGCCGCAGGAAATGGGCATTAGTCCATATTCTAAGGCCAACATTAGCCACTTCAACACATTGGCTTGATTCTTATCACTAAAATGACCTTATTTTAATCATATGCATTTATAAAAACAGCGATTTTTGTTAAAAAATCACACATTAAAAAAGTTGCTTTAGGAGTATCTCTGGGATTAGGGGCCCTGGTGTTTAAGCTTTATAGTAGATCCGCTACTGCTAACAATGTCTTTAGAGATAAGCCAGTTCATTTTTAAACAGAGTAAAAAGTAACAATTCTATTTTTTTTATTTGAATCTCATGTCACCTCATGGCGTAGGCGGTCACTGTTGTCTAATGCATTAATTTCTTTAATATCTGTAAATTACTATCTCCTTAGGAAATATACTAGACTGGTTTCTCGTTGCTTTTTGCACATTTTTAAATTCAGAGTTGTCATTTTTTTAGATTGACCGCCATTCACCCAAAGATAGAAAACCCAGTCTACGTTGCTATTTAATCCATAGCTGAGGGAAGAAGAAATAAATTCAAGATTTTTCCGTGGGCTTTAGCTGGGAAGTGAACGCCACAGACTAGGTCGGAACTTGAACAAATCCTGCCGATTCCACTTTCCACTGTGGTAACGGTCACGCTACACACACATACTTGACTCTGTTTCGTGCAGTCAAATAAGACTCATTAACAATACCCGTTATCTTGCTCATCATCTGCTCTACAGCAGGTACCGTAAGGAGATTACATTTAACCTTGTTTTGCACAAGGATCAAACACACACGCAACGGCTTGCAAGGTGAAATTGTTCAGTATCATTTTAACGGTAAGGAGTTTTGTATAGATATTTACTAAACTTGGGTTTGTTTTGGATAAGGCAACAATATTACTGCATCCAGCGAGAATGACTCGCGTGACTAGATTGTTCACCAACACTCTACGGTAGGCAGACTTAGGCGATAGCAAATAGTTGTTACAAGGCTGCGTTATGTTGATCAAACTCAGTAACATCGGTTTGTGAGATTAGTTTACTAATCATTGCACGATGGGGATTGATACAGGGTAAAAGGGATTTAAATCAGTAAAAGAAGAAGTCAAAAAATCGATGGAAAATGAAAGCAAAATAAAGAAAGAAAGCAAAAAGAAAAGAAAGTAAAAATTCGATTTAAGACAGGATAGAATGAAGTGAAAGCAATTGAATGAACACAAGAATAAAAAGGAGAAAAGAAAGTGTTATTTGAAGAAGAAGAAGAAAAAGGCGAGGAAGAAGAAGAAGAAAAAGTAAGTGAGGAAGAAGAAGAAAGTGGGGAAGAAGAAATAAATGAGAAGGAAGAGCAGAAAAAGAAAATGAGGAAGAAGCAAAATAGGATCAAGAAGAAAATGGGTTAGAGGAAATGACAAAGAATAAAAAAGTTGATATTGTCTTAAGAATGGGCGAGTGAAACGAGAGGGCTGAGATTTAGAAATGTAAAAAAAAAAAAAGCAATACGAAGAAGGAAAATGAAGTAAATTTGACAAAAGAATAAGAGAATAGGATGTTTCATTATGAAGGTAAAAAACGAAATGAAAAGACAGAAGAATAGAAAGGAAAAGTAATATCAAGTAAAAAAAGGGAGTAGAAGAAAAAAGGGATTAGTATCATAGAATACTAAGTGGGGGGGATACTTTCAGAAGGAAAACGAAAAATAGGAAGCAGTTAAAAAGACAAATATTTAGGGGGTTGGTAAAAAGGAGAAAGACTTAGAAAAAGAAGAGGAGAGAAAGGAATATATGAATAGCAAGAGGAAGAATAAAAAGACATTGCTTAAGATTAAAAGAAAAGAACTCTTGTTTCAGAAAAAGAAAAAAAAAGATATAACGAAAACGAAAAATAAGTGGAAACACTTAGAGCACTCATTTTAAAAACAGGAGATATATTCGAAGGGGTCAAATTTTATCAAAGGCTTTAATAAAAATAAAAACTGGAAAGATAAAATCAGGAATAAAAACAAAAAAAAACCCTGGAATTTACAAAAGCAAAATGATACCCCCAAAATGATAAGGAGTAGTGTAGGGTCTACAGAGCCCTAATGAAGGAAGTTGTAAAAGAGTTAAAGAATTAAGGTAAAGAGTTTTGAGGTTAGGGGTTGCAGTCTTTAAGATGTGAAGGATGTAAACTTAAAAGTGGTTGGAAAATTGAAGAGTAAGTTAGGAGATAATCCCTCCCCAAATTCTCTTTTAGGATCTGGTTTGTGTCACCAGGTGAAAAAGTGAAATCCCTAAAGAGCCCTCCAACTTTTTATCATCTTGTCTCTGCTGGGACCAATCATCTCGAACTAGCTCAATGGTTTATCGCTGTTAGTTTTATTAGCAAGCAATGTCAGCCTGCTTAAGAAAAGCAATAAATACTTACAGATAAAGCAGAAGATAATACAGAAGCCAAACGTTTCTTTGGCTAATTATTTTTATTAACAAACATCGTCGTTTCCACAACGTCTGGATCTAGACCTAGATTGGCGTCTTTCTGCTTTGTGGTAGAGATAGTTGTGTATTTCCCACGAGTACTACAGATTGGCTTTCAAGGTCGGCATAGCTTAGTATAATGATTTCCAAGGCAAACAGGCAGGATTTCTTCATTTGAAAGATTGTCGCAACTCTCAACTCCCACGCAGGTGTGTGTGTGTGTGTGTGTGTGCGTGTCTATGTATATATATATATATATATATATATATATATATATATATATATATATATATATATATATATATAGTATCTACATTTTAAAACATTTGTACTGTATTCATAATTAATTATATTAAGGTTTGGTTTCAATTTTTAAATATAGATAGCTTCAAGAATTTTTAGTTTATGTTTATTATTTTCAAGAAAAAGTATAGATTTATTTTCAACAAGAGTTTTCCTAAATTGCGAATGTGAACAGGCATGCTTTTTGTAAATGTTGAGAGATGTTAGATACATCATTCAAATGAAAACTCATCCTTTGGGTTTAAAATATATAAGTTTTAATATATATATATATATATATATATATATATATATATATATATATATATATATATATATATATATATATATATAATTTTTATTTAAAATATGATTCCAAATCGCTACATAAGAGGTCTCATGTTTCAAAAACAAGAGCCGAAAACTTCAATATAATCCTTTAAATTAAATTGAGTTGAAAGTAAAATGGGCTCCGTTCCATCTTCAAGCGAAATTTTTGTTGAATAACGTATATCTGAAATTTACTTGTTTTAAAAATTGAAATCAAAATCCCCATGGTAACAGCTATGGTGAATTGTCTAAATTGGGTAGGCGAGTGTAGGGTGTTTATAATAAGTAGCGGTATAGAGATACTTTCAAGGTGTCAAGTCGGGGAAAGGTGGGGGTGTCAAAAATGAAACGGAAGATGTATTGGCCATCGTCTTGTATGCTTGTCTATGGAGATTTATTTATTTATTTTATTTTATTTTATTATGAAAGGAATTGTGCATATAAAAAAAGAAAAACTTTCGTAACGTTTGTTTTTTGACGACTTCATAAAGGGTTATCTTATATGTAAGGTATTTAAACTACTAATTTATTTAGGCTATGGATTATGAAGTGTGTTATGTTGTATATAGGAATATTACGAAACTTGTCTGTAATTATGAAAGAATTCTATTAAAAAGTAAGTAAAGAAAACTTGTCTAATTTATTTCATGAAACTTAAATCTATTTTTATATATAGTATTTAAGATAATCTAAAAAAAATATATCCAAGTGACTCTGAATAACTTATTTTTATTGCAATCTTCCAATTTTCAAATAAATTCTACATCGGAATTCGTTGATAAACAAAGTTCATGTTTTTTTTGGGTATTCATAGATTAGTTAAAATAACTTCTCTCTCTCTATCTTTTTTTCTTTTACTAAATTTCTCACAAAACAAGGCGAAAGAGCTACTCAATCTAGAGTGTGTGTGTGATATGAAAGTAAGAAATGGCAGTACAGAAAGTGAAGATTAGAAGATAGATAACGATTGACCCCAGAATTAAAAATATTATGATTGTGGTGTTCAGGGAATAATCCTCGCGCTAATCTAACCTACAAGGTAGCAGTTCTTAGGAAGAAGCTTTCGGAGCGGATCGTCCATCTTACCAAAGGAATAAGGTGAATCACCGACAGTTCCTCCGGAATGAGAGTGATTTAACCCCGTGGACGTGGCAAGACAGGTATTGGCTGTATAAATCTGAGCTACATTCTCACATAGGTCTACCCGCATATACATCCACTCAGATATACATATGCGTTGGAGCACTTTTTTGTATTATATATATATATATATATGTATATATATATATATATATATATATATATATGCATGCCTGTATACACATACACATATATATCATTATTTATATATACCTGTATACACTCGTACATGTAACACACACACACACACACATATATATATATATATATATATATATTGACCAATTGATACCCATCGTTCCAAAAATGGATTTTTATATATAAATTTTAAAAAAAGCTGTTATTAATACCGGAAGATTTATTTTAGCAGTCTATAATTAATATCATAATTTTTAAATTTATTAAATTTATACCGACATTAAAGATGACTGAGTTATCTTTTATTTTCCCACTGGCAATAGCAGTTAGTAAAACTTCTCATTTGGAAGTTGGCGGAGATCGCGTTTGGGTATCAAGTTATCTTTGAAGTTGTATTGCTAAAAGACGAATTCTACAGCCATATCAATGCTAGATATTGTACTGTCAGTGTACAATAGGTCTACAGTCACTCATTTATGTGCCATGCGTGATACATGACTGACGAGGCAGATTTTTTCTCGCAGTATTTCTTTCTGCGGTAGACCAGTTACCATCCAAGGTTATAGAACCCGGTCTGTTCTGTTGTTTACCCATAGCTGTTGGGAGAAGAGGAGGATTCATACCTTTCCCACGTAAGTGAATGTAATAGATTCGACTGGAGTTTGAACTCGGCTCTCCGATTCCTCAATCCGAGTCGCTATCCGTTACTCCCCCGTACCTCCTATACTTTATATCAGGATGGTTGTATTAAAAGGCCTCAAATCTTAGAAGTCCTCATGATTAAATTAAAAGTAAACAGCTGAATGCAATTTTCTTTAGCTAGGACACAGGAATTTGAATTAATTTATTAATAAACAAAATTCATCAAATAAATCGCTTCGCTTCCGTGATGTTAGACCCGTCGACGTCAACATAAGGCAAAAATGCTAAACGCTGAAATTTAGAATCATTTTCCAGTCAACAGCACAATTCTATGAGTAAAAAGGATGCAAAACCATTAGAAAACTCTCAATCATACTGCATATTCTGTTGGAAGGTAAGAAAAAAAGATTAAAAAAAAAATGTTCAGCTTCAAATTCAGTTATAGCATTGTTGCCATATCCGGTCTGGTGCTCCTGCTGTACAACTCTTGACAAAATTCAAAGAAGGATCTGTAATGTAATCGATCCTGACATATCATCTCGACTTGAGTCACTTTCTCACAGAGGTTATGTGGCTTCCCTCTGTCTTTCCTACAAATATTTTCATGGCAACTTTTATGTCGAGCGGTTTTTTTCCCTTGGTCGCCGACTATATAAATTTAAGCGTGCTAGAAGAGTGACATCTAGGTCCCACTCTTTTACCGTTGAAATAGTTAAATGTAACCGCCACTTCTACCCCAACGGCTTCTTTTTTCACACTACCCGTCTGTGGAACTCCATTCCGTTTGCTTACTTCCCTGATAACTACAATTTTCAAATAATATTAATTTTAATGTAACGTCAATCGCCATCTTTTGATGTTTTGAATCCCGTTCGTCTTTTATCATTTCCTCATTTCTCGACACAGTAATCACCTGCGAACCAGTGGCATTCCTGTCTTCCTTAGGGTGAAATGCTTAAAAATAAACAGAATCCATCCTCAAAAAAAAAAAAAACACATTGATATTAAAAAAATAAATGATAGTATTTTTAAGCTTACGTCTGTGTAACTAAGTTGAGAGTATGTGCCTATCAATGAGCGATCGTTAATTGAGCAGACATATAAACTTGTAGGTATATATTTAGGCAAGCACACAGACACACACACACACACACACACATATATATATATATATATATATATATATAGAGAGAGAGAGAGAGAGAGAGAGAGAGGAGGGGATTCCCTTGCCGATTTCGATGGCAGTTTGGGAATTGAAGCATTAGACTATCCCCAAAGATTATTTGATTATAGTAATAAAAGTAATATATCGCATAATTTATGAGTTCAAACGCCCTTTAAGGAACTGTGTTCGACGTGCTGGCTGTGTTTGGGAAATGAAACATTCCTATAACTTCAGACACAACATAAAAAACCACTCATTCCTTTAAAAATAAAAATTAAAAATATCCCTTGATAATGGCTAAAAGAATAGCCGAAAGCGCTTGGATGTGTAGAACTTTTGGACACTTTGTGTACAGAAAAGAAAACACTTATACGAACACATTCCTATGTAGTCAACATCGCACTGACTTGTAAATTTATAAATGACCAAACTATTTTGTAGATAAGACAAACCGTCCTCAGAAAACGAAGAAAATGCGTGGAAAGGCCCCAAACAACATGTGTCCCGACCGCAGAAAAAACACGATTTAACACTCTATTAGTCAGAATCTAGCTGCCCCTCCCGAACCACGGCAGTTTCAGATCCACCGGGCCTAAATCATATGTGGGGACTTCGCTCAATCGTACATTTAATAACATTTTCCGGGTAACCATTGTCCCGGA